CACAAGTTGCCGACCCTGTAAACAAACACACACATATAGCAAAACATAACATATAGCTTTTTATTAAGAAACTATAGTTATGATGGGGTAGCTTTCCACTTGTAATTACACCATTGCCTAAGAGAAGTGATAATTCACACAATTGTGAGACTAATCGTCTCCTCTATAATGCCTGTTTGAGGACACCGGATCAATTGCTGAAGTCGCTTTAACCTTTGATGTTTGTAACTATATGACGCTGCACTCCGAAAGTGTGAGCAAAGCAATATACTCTTATCCGTACACCACCGTCTTTCTTCCCCTTACAAGCTTGCAGTCAAGTCGCTAATTCTGAACTATCTAAAGCAAGGTCGTAAAAGTTAATCTGCTGACACCGTGTGGAGGTGAGGGCTATTAACCCCTATCCTACTAAAACAATATAGCTTTGATGTATAATACTCTCGCCAACAATGGCGCTCATACACTGGTTTTGTCAGCATTTTTATTGCCTAAAAAATCTACTCATAGAATGATACTAGAATGTACAAACAACAGTATATACCCTACATACATGATGAATCACATGGACAGGTTTAAGTTATCAGCAATTAATATGTGCAGATATGTGCTATGTAAGTCTGTGTGTCACACGCATTCACCCTTGCCGTACGTTGGCACACGTTAAGCCCAGACGGGACCAGGTGTATGAATAGTCGTTTCTCCCTTGGTCCATGCCTAGCTGGTAGACTGTGCTACAGTGCATTCACATTTTGTTATAGCCTATGCTTATGCCTTAAGTATCTTTCAGAAATACAATATATTAATATCACAAACATATTCTGTTTCTTATCTTTGGAAATATATTTTGAACGTTCACGCAGCTACACTTACTATTTGAATCTAAAAGTTAATGAAATTTAAGAATGATTTGTGTTAATAAAGGGGATATAATACTTTCGTTTAAATTGTGTTACACACAAATTTATTTTGAACACACAATGTCATTTAGAAAGTGGTCAAATGTAACAAATGTCATATTTGGGATAACATTAGTATGAATGCAGTATATGAATATTGCAATTATCCTTGTAGAGAATGCATGTATGTGTCACAGGATGTGTCTATATTTAATATACAAGCAATTTGTATGCAATGCATTGACGGATATAGTACGCAATCAGTGTATATTGGACTGTAATACTGAACTCTGTCGGTCACATGACCACGCATATAATTAAAATATACTTTAAACTTAGCACCCGGTACTTCTGTGCCACCGTCAATCTCTCAATGTTCCCGGGCTACTGTGTGTGGAACATATCTTTACACCAGGAACGAGACACCGGGTGCTTCTGTGCCACCGTCAATCTCTCAATGTTCCCGGGCTACTGTGTGTCGAATATATGTTTACATCGTGAACGAGACACCGGGTGCTTCTGTGCCATCGTCAATCTCCCAATGTTCCCGGGCTACTGTGTGTGGAATATAAGTTTACATCGTGAACGAGACACCGGGTGCTTCTGTGCCACCATCAATCTCTCAATGTTCCCGGGCTACTGTGTGTGGAATATAAGTTTACATCGTGAACGAGACACCGGGTGCTTCTGTGCCACCGTCAATCTCTCAATGTTCCCGGGCTAGTGTGTGTGGAATATAAGTTTACATCGTGAACGAGACACCGGGTGCTTCTGTGCCACCGTCAATCTCTCAATGTTCCCGGGCTACTGTGTGTGGAATATAAGTTTACATCGTGAACGAGATACCGGGTGCTTCTGTGCCACCGCCAATCTCTCAATGTTCCCGGGCTACTGTGTGTGGAATATAAGTTTACATCGTGAACGAGACACCGGGTGCTTCTGTGCCATCGTCAATCTCTCAAAGTTCCCAGGCTACTGTGTGTGGAATATAAGTTTACATCGTGAACGAGACACCGGGTGCTTCTGTGCCACCGTCAATCTCTCAAAGTTCCCAGGCTACTGTGTGTGGAACATAAGTTTACATCGTGAACGAGACACCGGGTGCTTCTGTGCCACCGTCAATCTCTCAATGTTCCCAGGCTACTGTGTGTGGAACATAAGTTTACATCGTGAACGAGATACCGGGTGCTTCTGTGCCACCGTCAATCTCTCAAAGTTCCCAGGGTACTGTGTCGGAGATTTGTGTTCACATATAGACCTCAGACACCTGTTTAAAACTGGTGTGCTATCAATCCCTACTTGGCACCACCCACACGAGAAAAGAAATCTACCCAGTTGTTTGCCTCTTTTATGAAAGGTATTGGGTAACTGCAGCATAAATTATGGGCGTGGCCTTGTGGGAGTTGTCTCCCATTAGCCTTGTACAGTGAAGGATAGGGAGAGACGGAACATCAAGCTGTCAACTTAAGCGTCATTCACTGAAACATTCATGTCCTGCTTTTAGGGTTGGTAAAGAAAGCCAAGAAAGTCAAACAGCAAAGCGGTTTTTCCAAGGACATAAATACAGATGTCGCACTTGAAAGGTCCTTTAAATACTTCAACATAAAAGCGTCGATTCCAATTGCTTCATACATTAAAATATGTTTTTTTTCAAAAAATAGGAATGGTTCGCAGGGGAAGAATAGAAGCGAGTGAGCTGTAAATTGGCAAGAAATGTGATGTCACGAGTTTCGCAGATTCCAAATGATCAAACTGTTGTCTCAATTGATTTGTCTCAACAACGTACGGGTAAAAAGAGTGTAGCAATATAATTCAAATTATATGTCTATTGAAGTTTGAAGCTGAAAACTCCCTCTGCAACCGACCCTGTACATTAATGTAGTTCATCGTACTTCACTACCCCATAAAGTAAATGGTAACTTCTTTCAACTAGTTCTGTTTTGTGCATGGAATATTACAAACAAACCTGTTCTCTGCAGGGATCCACCACGGCAACATGAACAGAAACCGTCAGTTGTACACAATCTGAGCCACACATCAAATACAATGATTGGGACAAAAATATTTGAAGTCATTTAAATTTATTTCACGTACGTTGATCAAGAGTCGGATTCGTAATAGCCAGTGATCAATATGTATTGTGAAAGCCTGCGACACGTGCAACACGATACTGAAAATGAAACATTCCAATTAAATTATTAAACATATATCAGATGATTGTGTAACCACTTTTTCCATAGAAGTAGAGTTATGAAACAAAGCCTAATTTACCACATTGTCCATAGAAGTACAGTTATGAAACAAAGGCGTATTTTACCACTTTGTCCATAGAAGTACAGTTATCAAACACAGCGTATTTTACCACTTTGAGACAACAGAAGTACAGTTATGAAACAAAGGCGTATTTTTCCACTTTGTCCATAGAAGTACAGTTATGAAACAAAGGCCTACTTTGTCAGTTTGTATGTTTGTTTGTTTCTTGTTCAAAACGCACTATTCCAGCTGTATGACGGCGGTCTGTAAATAATTGAGTCTGGGCCAGACAAACCAGTGATGATTTCATGAGCATCGATCTACGCAATTGAGATACGATGACATGCATCAACCAAGTCACCGAGTCTGGCCATCCGATCCCGTTAGTCGCCTCTTACCGCTTTTCAGTGGAAGTACAGTTATGAAACACGGACGTGTTTAACCTCTTGATGCCAGTAGACACATTGTTAAATAACATGGACGTGTTTTGGAAAGCACCCTTCGAATGACATTCAGGCAATAAAAATGTTATCGTCAAGTCGGAAAAATATCTTGTTTGGAAGATTCTGATACGACATGTAAAGCATATATTAAGTTAATATCTGTACAAATATTTCTCAATCCTACAATTAACAGCAAATATACAACAGCAGGTTTCACATTCACGTTTCAATATGTATTCATTACATGCAATAATGTCACCAAGCCAGGCATAACATAACATATTCATTACTCTAGCAAAACCTGTTTTTTCCTGTGACAAGACTTAATATAATCAAATGGACAACACGCTTAACGCGAACGGTTTATCCTTGAACACAATCAACACGCATTGCGGTGAAGAAAAGAATAGGACAAAATCTTAAAAACGTGTTTTTTTCAACTGAGATAACTGGAGGTGTATAGTTACAAACTATACCAAAGAAAGGGTTCATCTGTACATTTGTGGTGCATGTTTCGCCAGGATCTAACCACGGGTCCCTGCCCAATGACGCGCTATCACCTGACTTAATAACTAGAACCCATAACCGCGAGTACAGATCATCTTCGTGTTGACACAGGTAATATTGCAATATGAATCTACGCTCTCATAGCCATGTGTCAAATACACCAAGTTGTTTATGTGCTCTACGAGACCTGACTTCAAACGTGACTTACAATCGTTTATTGTGGAATAATATTAAAGTTAAATGATCTATAAAATATACGTTTATTAACTGGAGGAACCGATAGAGTAGTAAGTTGCTGTGAGGCTCAAGGGTCCTGTGATTATCAGAGAGAAGTCGTAGCGCTTCATCTACCCGCTACATCAAAGAGTCCTCTTTAACTGTCTTTATGATCCAGTGTACAAATGTTCAAGTTTTATAGTGTGCGATTCACAGAGATCATCGTATCAAGCCTACTATAATAATCTTATTGTATTCCTTATAATTGCCTTTTATACAAAGCGAATTATTTCCACTATTCAATATGTTAGTCATAAATTGTTTGTGAGTGAGTTATGAGCTTTCAAGGTCCATGAAGACGTGCAAGGAACGGCTGGAGTGGGCACATGGCTTCAAATTTGACCCAGGTTAGTTGTCTGTATTTCTTGGCTTGGTTGCGAAAGACGCACTTTATTGGCGGATCAAATAACCATCGGGTTAGCATGATTGTTCCTAATTTCTTCGTTCAAGCAAACACATAATCACATCATGTGCCTCTAACTAAGCCCCGCCCCATTGCCCCAAACGACCAATGAAATCTATTGTGGATAATTTCGGCCCGCTGAGACAGTGCACTACTCGTGGCCCCGCCCACCTGTCAATCAGGGGTGTGAGCGAGGCGTACATCTCGCGTGACATAGGCTGCCAAGCATCATTTCTCTCAGGCTACATAACAAGGAGGAGGACGCTGGTGAACCACAACACACCTGTGTCACAAACATCTTCGGTCAATATCAGTATTGATGGTCATTATTGGAAGTTATTACCGTTAACAGTGACCAATATACTCGGACAGTTGTCGGCGTGTTGAAGCGAACGTCACACTGTGCAGGTGTATCTCTATGTCCTGAACCCTGTGCTTTTACATGCATATGACGAAAGTGTCGCCTCAGGGATAGGCGAAAGTTTGAAAACATTTCCTCAACACTTGCTATAAATCATTACCCCATTTTCCCAATGATGTCGAAGCGAGACAACGAGGTGGTTCACGAAGATGTGGACAGCGATGTCGACGAGGACGCTCTGGTTGATGTGGACGACTCCGGCTCAGACGGCAGTATTCCCAGCCCCACTCACGGGACGCCCGAGAGACTGACCCCCGTCACAGGCAGCCCGGGGGTGCCACACGAAAACATGCGAGACACACCTACCCCCGAGGGATCCCTGAGTCCCGGACAAGCGTCCGATGCAGATATGAAAGGTAAGCCTCTACCTGGTCCACCTGTACACAAACACGGCGACTTTTACAATACAACCGAATACTGTCACGTGTTTACCTCGCGTCGTTGCAATCACCGTTTTTCGACATCTCTGAATACTTCCTAAATCTTAAATCTACCTTTCCGCTGGTTATTCTACCCATGTGTTAGTCGTGTGATGGGACGGAATCCCATTCTCAGAAGGTTTCTAACAAACCGTGTCATATCACTTTCGTACTCTCCAAATCCGACTATATTAAATTAAGACCTCTACATTATGGGTATATATAATAATAATTTGACTATATATTTCATTACATACAAGCTCGGGCTAAACTGAACTTATCATGCCGGAAATAATTATTACTTATTCTGTCCATGGAGTGGTTACATGTTTGTGATGTTTGTCACAACAACTACTTTGTTTGTGGGTTGTCAGTCGGTGAGATAATATAGAAAATGTCTCCTTCAAATTCATATACATATTTTATTCAATCACAGTAAACCGTTGATTTTGTTTTTTAACTGGATATTTTTCATGTCATTTGTGTCATATATATTTAATCAACAGACAAAATGTTTTTATAAGCGTGTCAAGAGACTTTGTGAAATAATTTGAAATAAACATCACTAAACGAAAATTAATGCCAAATATTGACGTGTATATATATGTATATATATAAACCATTTATGAATATCACTGAAATATATAGGCCTGCTGAAACTAAAGTAAAGAGCTCAATCATAAAGCTACAGTGTGGAATTTTAGCTTTTCGTGATGTAAAAATACTAGTATCCCTGCGAATATTTTCAAATAATATGAATTTATTTTTCCGACAATAGAGGAGCTAATTAAATACTATTTATCTGAAGATATTATCGCATTTTCAATAAGCTATTTGTGTATGATATAAGTTGTAGGAAGTGTGTGAGATATCTGGGAGCCTTGGGGAGTCGCGAGATGGGTATCAGCTGATTGTCCTTTTCAGGTGTACAACCCCAGGCCATGGACACCACTGGTGTATACGCTCTAATCGTAGACGGCAGAACTTCATGGAATATTTATCTATAGCACAGTTATAAGTATGTGTGATAACTGGGGATTGTTTTTGATTCACGTTTTATATAGAATATTTTTTAGCATCGCCCTCGCATTAGTTTTTAATAGTAATTTAAATCTAATGGAGTCCAAGCAGCTGGGTCTGAATGCGTGATCACGATCGGTGGGCGAGGGGGGAGGGAGTGAGGGGGGGGGGGGGGGGGGGGGGGACTGGGGCGGTGAGGGGGGAGGCCGGGGGGACCGGTCAGTTTGATATTGCAGAACTTCTGCCGGTGAATTTAATCGCAAATGATAACTTTTATAACATTTCTATCCGACTTATTTTGAAGATATTAATTTGGTAACCCTAAGAGACAACAGGTGTCTAATAAAACAAGAAAGACCGATGCCGACAAGAAATAACTCACTAATTGTAATATTAATAATTCATGTTTAACTCTTTTGTACATTCTGAAAACGGAGGTCTCAAACTAATTGTTACAAAAACTGCAGTATTTTTCTAAATTATTATTCCTATACAATACAAGTTACAGGTCAGAACAGTCCTCCCGCCATGCAACAGTTCGTTTCTTATGTTGATAGGTTCCACAAGAAAATGCCATGTTCACATATTCGGCCTGATTCAAAGCTCTCCGCCATCCCTCCGACATTCAGATTAATCCTAATTGTAGCGATTTCTTGTATTAACTCCTTGCATTATTAACGTGGCTGTATTCGCCCTCAAGTACAGATACGGCTGAGAAATATAGGCGAACTTGACAACCCGCTTCTGTCTCGAGCCATCGCCGCCCACAATGGTCGTTGCTTTATAGATTAACGCGTAAATGGATCATAATAAAGACATTATTACTTTTTAAAATTTCACAATTGATTTTAAAACGTCACGTGAGTAGATTGTTTAGACAACACAGTTTAATGAGCTGGGTTTGTGTGCGAGAGTGATGAGGACGGTCTAACGAGTCGATGTGAAGATGTTTTAGAACAACCACTGCCGGACTTACTCGGGCTATGAGATCACTACTGTTAAGTGGTCGGTGGGGTGGGGATGTCAAATCGCCGTTCGGTATGTCTACTCTCACCTATTTTATCATTTTCTGATTATCTAATAAACGAAGACATTCGGCATTCTATACGATTCATAAATAATATTTACACGTGTAAACAGCATTAAAATCTTATCTAGGAAGTTTTGTTTACACAGATTAAAAATATAATCAATCAATAATTTTTTATGCATATGTTCCTATCATATTTCCAACAAGGGGTACTCCTATTCTCACTTCTCTTCTAACTTCTTTTTGACCACCCAACGCTTCAGAATACACTCAGCCATATCTTTATGTGGCATTAGGTGCTTGAGTTTAAGTGACGTCAGGACTGTTTGGATTTCACATTATGTTTTACTATTCCAAAGGGAGAAATAAAAGGTTAAATCCACAAGTCACATTCCACGATATCAATCATATAGTCATACAATATGGTTTTGTTGTAAAGTTTAGGTTATGTTCGGGACAAGGCCTTCTCAAACACAACCCCTAACAGGACACTTTCTCGTTTTGCGAACACCTGGTGTCATCACTGATTTTCAGTTGTCCATTCATAAAATGTTGTCTACTATTTTGCATTTACTCCATGTAGAATCTGTTTCGAGATAATCGAGACAGATAAAACGTTTTATCTTCACCCAGCGTTTTACCCCTCCTCACATTCACAATCCTTTCTCCATCCTCCACTACCATGCTCCTACTCTGCATCTAATTGGCCCTACTGTCAAAATTTAATAGGTACAAATTATAGTCTTTAACTTACTGAACCCAACAAAAAATTCTTAATCACATCATAAAAGTAATTAAAATGTTCCGATCATTTTATGACAGTGGAAGTAGGCATATTTCAGTTGTGTGAGATAATATAGAAATAATGTAAATAAATGATTATCTTTTCGAATATATCGATATTGGGATGAAGAACGCATTGCGTTGATGAGACTAATGCTGATCCCATCAAGTCGAAGGTTCATAGCCAACTGCTGGTAATTAGGTTTAATGAAGATGTATAATTTATCCGTACCCGGTGTAAGTGAAACGTGCCGAGTTGGGACTCACCGACGTGTAATTAACCATGACGCCGGCTAATGGTGCACGACACAGCTGGCAGATGGACAGACAAACATAACTATTTTGAAAACGTCTTTTGTACAAATTAGAATAAATAAACAATGGAGTTTCACCTTTGTGACATCGATATCTCCCTCGTCATAACTGTATCTAAACCACACATTTCAAGATTCAGTGTTTCCAGGAATCAAAGCACTATAGTTGTGTTGTATTGGATACACTCGTAGTTTTCTTTGTTTAAAATGTTAACCGTATTATGTATTCACAAGAAAAGTAATAAAAAACCAGGAAGTTTCTAAAATTGTTTAATAACCATTGCGATTGAATTTTACTCTTTTCAAATATAAATGTTGTAGTTATATTAAGGTTGGAATGTTATATTCACCAGTACTCTTCTTATGAAAATACGTTCCCTGACGTTCATCCGAGAAATGTTGCGCGCCATTATATTTTTGTTTGCGAATATTACTTTTTTTCCTTATAATAACAATCACATATTGTTGACGAAATGATAAAATATAACAAGGAAAATGAGGTTTAACGGCATAGCTTATTTTTGTCTTCTATAGCTGTAACCTTTCTTTTTTCTATTAACCTCAATGAAGGTTTAATGATTAAAATTACTTTTATATTTACCGCACGGGGAAGCTCACATACACGGATGGCCTGGCATGATGTAGCTAAATCAATCCATGTACGACAAATTGTGTCGTTTCACCCATATTGTTCTCGCATCATGCATATGATGCCACACTGTTGTTTTGATAAAATTGTGTGTTTGCACAGCGATCTTATCGGCCATCTGTTCATTGATCGGTCACTGTTGAATAGCGTACCAGGGAATCGTTCTGTTCCTCGTCCACACACATGAAGCTGTTGCGTATATCTCCACAACACATAGCACGACATCTACACCGACAATGTTGTTTTGGTTCAAAGGAATTTAGAATAGTAAATATCTATAATTTATTATGAAACATATGTTCAACAGTACATGTTTAAGGTTAGGTTATCTATTGACCACATCAATTACCATGGGTATATATGCACTATATTATTTTACATGTGTGAAGTGCGTGAAGTCTTTACAACTGTTAATGCCGAGTAGAGCTCAGACGTTTCGGAAACCAAACTTTTCTCCCGTGTTATTCTATCATCGTAACCTTCCTCGTCATCATCCATGTTTATAACATTCCCTAATGAAATGTCTGCCTTCATTGTTAGCTTAGCGGAAATATTTCATAGACAATACGGGGTTGTTCTTTCAATTTCCTCATTATAAATATTAAATAATTATTACTGACATGTGTTTAAATACGAAGATTAAGACAGTAAATAAAGAATGGTAAAATGGGAAAGGTTGTTAGATGAGGCCAACATGGAAGGCAAACTGAGTCTATAGTTAACCTGGACATGAGCGATGAGGGTTTTCGGGGTTGTGTCCGTGGTCCAGACTGACCAATAGGGTCCCTGGATCCGCGGAATTATGGCGACCCGAACAGAAGCGGCTATTGTCTGCGGGAGATAATTAATGTATTACCCAACACCGTTGACCCGGAGATTAGCTGGCAAGAGAAAGATTCATGTTTGTTCTTCCATCAAACGTCCCTTCAACGTCCCGTTCCCTTCGTAAATCCCCGCCATTTACCATCCGCGTCCGACGGCGCGTAACCTCTCACGTCACGTGACATATAACGCGACAGGTACGGAAATCACGTGACCAGGAAATTGTTTTGTCGAACAGAAAAAATACACAATGTTAATAGAGATTTTTTGAAATTGTTGTCATATTTGAATTGTTTTAATCGCTCTACGACCTATGAAG